CCTGGCTTTTGTCTCCCCCGCTCCCCACAAGCCCCCCTTCCTCTCCCTCCTCCCCCTCCGCACAAGCCCCTCCCCCATCTACACAAACCCCTCCCTCTCCACCCCCTTCCCCTAGTTTTCCCTCTCCCTACCTTCTGCCTTCCACTTTGTGGGACCGGAGTCTGCACTCAGGCCCCGGACTCCAAACTCAGAACTAGACCACGCAGCACAATGTGGCGCCGAAGAGTTTTAAAGTCCCGGGCCGTGACGTCATGTCATGCCCAGGTGTATCCCCCCATCTACACAAACCCCTCCCTCTCCACCCCCTTCCCCTAGTTTTCCCTCTCCCTACCTTCTGCCTTCCACTTTGTGGGACCGGAGTCTGCACTCAGGCCCCGGACTCCAAACTCAGAACTAGACCACGCAGCACAATGTGGCGCCGAAGAGTTTTAAAGTCCCGGGCCGTGACGTCATGTCATGCCCAGGTGTATCCCCGCTCATGGGAACGCCATGCATGGCAGCAGCCGGCGAGGGAGATCCGCACTGAAAGTCGCGCACAGCAAGGATGGTCCGGGGCCGGCTGGGGGGGGCCGGAGCCCGCTCCAGGCAGTGCCAGGGGACAGACCCAGCTCCAGATATTGCTGAAGCAGGGCCCCAGCTCTGAATATTCACTCGCTGCCCATGACGCCCGGCACACTTCCAGGTTCAGGGCGAGGGGCCCTTTCAGGTGCGGGGTCCCATTCAGGGGAATCGGGCGAGTCAGCCTAAGGCCAGCCCTGGGCTTGCCTATGACCCTGTGTGCCCCCCACATGTTGCCTTGAGAAGATGCAATGTCTACCAGGAGAGGTGGGTCTGTCCCAGGGGCCCAGCCAGGCATAGAGGGTGGAGAGAACTGGATAGGGAGAGTTGGGTTAGTTTGGTCTGTCACCCTATCCCTGTGTTAGAGAGGTGTATGGGAATGTGCTTTCTTTTTAACAGGCTTAGTCAACTACATTTGAGCATTTGTACTGCATAGTTCTGATTGCTATTGAACATGCCTGAATACGAATACATTTACCAGGTGTCTCGTATTCAGCATCAGGTCAGATTTCTGATGGACACCCCCATTTCCAATAGGGGGAGAAACAAGCAGAAGGAAAGGGCTCCAAACATAAGCAAGCAAAATTGCATAAAAATAGGAAGCAGAAAAGGAGGGAAGAAGATGAATGGGGTTGTTAAAAATCCTAGAAAAAGGAAGAGTGAGGAGAGGAAAGAGAGAATGAACAAAAGAAAGCTGAGATACTGCCATGGCAGAAAGGGTTGTGGGGTTTTCCATGGAGCCCATACACCAGTCTATTGCATACACGAAAAGACAGTAAACCACTGGGTTAAAGACTAAACTGTTGATTGCCATTCATAATACGAGTGAAGACTTTGCTGATAGAAAAGCATGCAGAGTTCAAGTGTATTTCTTTTGCTCAATCAATTTAGTGTATTGGAGTCATATTTTGAACCTTTAATATGCAGTTTATTTCTAGCTTTAACCTCAGTGGCATTATCTGTCTTTGACCTGCTTAAAATAAATCTCTCAGATTTTCCAGACTACACTGAAATTGTCTTGTTTGGCTTCCATTCACAACCGCTCACAGAGCTGGCTTCTTTACTGTATCAGTTTTGCTTTCTGATGATTAATTAAATGGAGAACATTGGCAGTTATTTCCTGAGTGTGCCTGCAAGTTCATAGACTGTCCCTTTGTACTGGAGATCCACTAATAGTCTTCCTTTATCCTCTGTAAGATGCCAGTCAGATTAATGAATAAATACCCACACACCTGACCCAAAACTTCCTTCTACCTGCACATTCCCTTCAATGTTCAGATTCCATTTCATACTGGTGTTTGAGTGACAGATTTTATGAAAACACACTGGCACATTTAATTGCCTTAAAATTACCTGTGAGCTGTTCTTTTACCCATGGTAGATTGCTTTGCAATAACAAGGAGTAGTAGTTTAACTGTTGCTTTCAAAGATTTACAGTTTAAAATATTTTTAATTTACAAAGATTTAAAAAACAGATTTTAAGGTTAAAGGCATTTTCTTGTTTTAGGAGAACTAATAGGCTGTGTCTAGACTGGCCAGTTTTTCCAAAAAATCAGCCGCTTTTCTGGAAAATCTTGCCAGCTGTCTACACTGGCCGCTTGAATTTCCACAAAAGCACTGACTTCCTACTGTAAGAAATCAGTGCTTTTTGCGGAAATACTATGCTGTTCCCGTTCGGGCAAAAGTCCTTTTGCGCAAAAGCGCATCTAGATTGGCCACAGACACTTTTCCGCAAAAAGTGCTTTTGCGGAAAAGCGTCCGTGCCAATCTAGAAGCGCTTTTTCCTAAAATGCTTTTAACGGAAAACTTTTCCGTTAAAAGCATTTCCGGAAAATCATGCCAGTCTAGACGTAGCCATCGAGATTAAAATCTATATTTAATTTGGGAATTATGGCTGTAAATTCAGATTATTTTCAAAGTGATTTTCTTGTGGGTCTGGAATTCTTTAGTAGATCTGTGTGGAATTTAAATCCACAATAATTATCATTCTGTACAACTTATATGGTGCATTTGATCGTTGTTGAAGGGTTTTGTGAAAACTAGCTGTAGGAGAAATGATGTATGGGTATTTTGGTGGTCAGAGATTCAGGTATCACACAAAATAAGGCTTTTGAACTGCTTAACAGCATCCAGTAAGGATGATGCAAATTGGCAAATATAACATTTCTTCTGGATAATTTGGTCTCTGAAACAAGTGAGAAAATATTCATCAGTACTCAGTCATCACTTCTTTAAATAACAGCAAATAATAAGTTATGCCAGCTTCCATTAAAGTAGCTTCAGTCAGTGGTGCACTTCTCCTTCAGTCATCTGTATCTTTTCAAATATCTTTTGTTTAGATTCAGTTTCACATTCTTGTGCACTGTGCCCATTATAGGGCAAAAGATTATCCATCTGTATTAGTAAATAAGGGCCTGATTTTTAATGATATTTAGGTGCCTGAAGATATACATAGAGGTAGAGGCGATGCATGGGGGAGCACGTGGGGCCACATGCACTCCCATGGTCCTCTCCAATGTGGAGAGCCACTCCCCCAAGAACATAAGAGGGTCCAAAAAAGATAAATATGTGGAGGTTAGGTTCATCATTGGCTATTAGCCAGGATGGGTAGGAATGGTGTTCTTAACCCCTGCTTGCCAGAAGTTGGGAATGAATGACAGGGAATGAATCAAATGAAGATTACCTGTTTTAGTCATTCCTTTTGGGTCACCTGACACTGGCTCCTGTGACAAGACAGAATACTGGGCTAGCTGAATCTTTGGTCTGACCAGGTATGGCTTTTTCTATGTTCTTATGAAAAACCGATCTCATTATATATCTATAATAGGGCAAAAGTAATAGCTTGGGCTTGAAATCTAGTGAGGGTACCTGCTACTGTTTTGGAGTTGTCTGTATCTTCACGAGTTGGTGAGAGAGAACTTCCCCTTTGGAGCCTGGGGAGAAGTGTGCATAGACATTGGAGAAAGGACTATGGCCTTCATAAATGAAAAGATTGGTTCATGCCTCCTATTTGGCTAGAGCCTAACACCTTTAGCTTGTCTCAGAATATGTCTACACTGCAATTAAATACTTATGGTTGGCCCATATCAGCTGACTCATGTTTGTGGGATTCAGGTTAAGGGGATTTTTAATTGTACTGTATAGTAATTCAGGCATGGGCT